TAAATGATGTCTAGCTTGAATTATAATCTCTTTAAAAATTGTAAATGAATGAACAGTAATGTATATAGCGCCTCAACTGAGCCACAAGTTTTTTTCTTAAAAAATAAAATTCTCTCTGTCTGGAAAAGTGAATTTAAGCCCCTCAATCGGGTACTAATGAAAGAAAGGAAATGATACCAATCCCATGACTTGCCATTTTTCCACTAAATCACTCTGCTTCTCATATACTGAATTATGTGATATAAAATAATTTGTTAAGCTACACACCTCTGAAATATTATCTATTGAAGGTGTTATGAGAAAACCATTCTGTAATAAAATTCTCCAACCAGATAATTTTCATAAAAAGAAGGCAATAAATGCAATTAATCAATTTGAACTCTTTATATATAAGGGGATGAATGACAGCATTCAGGAAAATTTTGCCCTGTAATTGAATTTGTAAATTGCATGTCAAGTTACTCCTTTATGGCACCATTGACCATCCCTGCAACTTTCTGGACCAAAATTCCCTTCTTCCCCAGCCACTACTCTCCTATGTGGGTTGTCTCCCTCTATTAGAATGTTAACCCCTTGAGAACAGGGATTGTCTTGGGGAAGGGAAGAAGGGAACACATATTTATCAAGCACTTACTCTGCCAGGCACTGTGCCAAGAGTTTTACAAATATTATCTCATTTGATCCTCACAACCCCCCCCGGGAAGTAGGTGCTATTATTATCCCCATTTTTCAGATGAGAAAACTGTGGTGGACAGAAGTTAAGTGACTTGTCAAGAGTTATGCAGCTAGCAAGTGAGGCTGGATTTGAATTCAGGTCTTTCTCACTCAATGCACTGTCTACTGTACCACCTCATTGCCTAGAAAAGGTCATTAGGTAAATACATGCTAGGAAGAGAAGATGAGTGCATCTTCAGGTGGTAAAACAAAGTGACATTGGGTAGAGAGTCAGAGCATCCCCTCATACTCTTGTAATGTCATGACACATCTGCTGTCTCTTTAGAATGTAAACTTCTTTTTTGGTTTGTTTTTATTTTTTTTTTTAGAATGTAAACTTCTTAAAGATAAAAGGGCTTTTATTTTTGTCTCTGTAACCCTAGGGCCTAACACAGTGCCAGGTATATAGTTAACACTCAATAGTGCTTGGTGGTTGATCAGCTGAGTCAGAAGAAATTGAGGCCCTCTAGTATTTTGGGTAGATCCCCCTGGAGCAAAGGGAGGACACGGACAAGTGTCCCACAGCATGATCGGGCACGGGTGAGTCGCCATATGCATCATTGGAGGGCACATCCAAATGGATGGATCAGATATGTTTGAGTATCAGGTACTTAATCCAGTCACTGGACTAGATACTGAGGAGACAAAGACAGTCCCTGAAGCAGTCCCTGCCTCCAAGGAGCCTATATTCCATTGGAGAAGAAAACCTCTGCCCATTAGAATCTATAAAATATAGGGTATCCCCAAAATCTTAGGATAGTTTAAAACTATTAAAGGTCTGAATGGGAGTAAAAGATGTTGTCAGGGATGTTAGGATAAGGAGATAGGCTAGTCAGGATGTGACAATGAGTGATGGAAGGTTGACAGCCAGACTATTCCCCATTCCTCTATAATGGCAGGTTCCCCCATCTTCTCCTGTACAGTTGATGTAACAGCTTCCTGTAAAGCTTAAAATGGCAATAAGACTTTTGGGACATCCCATATATACAAACTGAATATGAGTTAAGTTGGGTGGTGCATGTAAAGGACTCCCCCCAGCCTTCTCTTATAATGAAGCTAAGCAAGACAAACCAGCACATCAGACAAGTTTCACATTATATATTCCATTCTGTGCTTCTAGTTGTTCACTTTAACTATTAAGAGGAAGGAGGTAAGAATTTAAAAAAAAAAACAACCTATTGAAAGTGTGTTGGACAAGTAAACACACCAACTACGCCATTTCTTAGGGAAGAGACATAGGAGGGCTTCTAGAACCTCTCTCACTAGCAGGTTCACTTTTGATCCGCTCAGACAGAAAGACAGGAATGGAGTCATAATTAAAGGGTTAAATAAGCTTACTTTATTCTAGTCTAGTATTCTCAAAGGGGGTTTGCTGATAATGGGAGCACCAACTCCTATAGCATTCCCCAAGAACCCTTCTCGCCAGGGCTGGTGTGAAGTGGGAGGCAACTCCCCCTCGTCTCGATGGGGTCAGTCGAGACCAGCACAACTTGTGCACTCTTCTAAATTCCCTCAAGCCTCAATAGGGGCCAGTTGAGTCAAACACACAGATTTCCCCTCCCAAGCCTTGATGGGGGCTGATCAAGGCATGCACAGCATTCAGCCTGCACATTCACCCCATGGGGGTCCCCAGTCACTGACCAGTGCCCACTTGCTTTATGGGGCAACAGACAAAGAAGGCACATTGCCAGCAATAGCCTTACAATTTTACATCACTTCATCCCTATATCTACTGCTCAAGCATGGTAGGAACTGTTTTGAACCATGTTGGTGAGAACTCTTATCTAACACTTGGGAAGTAGAGATTATTATGGCTATGGATCCTGGGGAGAAAACTCTAAGAAAGAATAACAGAAAATCCACTTTACACACACTAAAATTCACCTTATTTACAAAGTGTTATTGGAAAGGTAAGGTCTTTTTAAAATTAATTAATCAATCAATCAATCAATCAATCAATCAGCATTTATTTAGGCTTATGTGCCGGGTACTGTGTTAAGTGTTGTTGTTGAGTTGTTTCAATTGTGTCTGACTGTTCATGACCCCACTGGGGATTTCCTTGGCAAAGATACCAGAGTGCTTTGTCATTTCCTTCTCTAGCTCATTTTACAGATGAGGAGACTGAGGCAAATAGGGTTAAGTGACTTGTCCAGGGTAATATAGCTAATAAGTGTCTGAGGCCATATTTTAACTCATGAAGATGAATCTTCCTGACTTCAGACCTGGTGCTCTAGCCACTGTGCCACCTAGCTGTCTACTGTGTTTAGTACAAGAGATTCAAAGAAAAAGCTTTGGTGAAAGATAACAATGGTTCCTGCCCTCAAAAGCTTACATTCTAACTGAGGAGATACATAAACACAAATGGACACATGTAAGAAAAATAGCATAATAATGATAATAACTAGTAATTATATTATACTTTAAGGTTTGTGAAGCACTTTACATGTATTATCTTGTTTAAAACTCATAATAACCCAATGAGATAGGTCCAAATGGAGATACAGGAGATACAATGAGATAGGTGTAAATGGAGATTTTACAGATGAGGAAACAGGTTGAGAGAGGTTTTGACTTGGGTGGGCAGAGTCACATGGCTTACAAGTGTCAGAGGCAGAATTTGAACTTAGGTCTTCTTGACCAATTCAACTCTATCCACAATGCCACCTAGCTGCCCAAGGACATGGCAGATGGTAGCTAGTTAGATGGCCCCACTCCCACAGTTACAATCATTTTATTCCTTCTATGCTCACCACAATTTCCCTAATTCAACCTAAACCTTTCTTTCCTCCTCTTTCATTTTCCTGTTCAGAAAAATCGATGGGACCAATGTGGAAGAAGATAGCATTGAGCTGAATGAAGAGGGGCAGCCAGTGCAGGTTCCAACTCGGGGCGCCCCTCGTTGTGACTGCTATTGCTGTGGGGTACCCAAACGCTACATCATTGCCATTATGAGTGGCCTCGGTTTCTGCATTTCTTTTGGAATACGGTGCAACCTAGGAGTCGCCATTGTGGAGATGGTCAATAACAGTACTGTGTACATAAATGGGAAGCCAGAAGTCCAGGTAGGTGAATGTTTTATGATGTGAATTCATTCCGTTAGGATAATTCTTGGGTTTAACCCTCCCCTTCAATTCACTAATTTCCAAATGGATGCTTTTAATAGGGTAGAGATTATGGGATGGAGTCCAGTTCACTTCATATGGAATGGTTGTTGTTGCTTGTCCTTCGTTCTTGAAGGGGACCATGACGTTAGGAAGATGATGCCATGACCTGCAAGTGGATTGGATTTAAGTGAGGGAGGGCTGTGCAAAGTCACCAGGGCTCCATTGATTACTCCATCTCACTTAGGCAGGAACACTTCTTAAATGACTTAATAAACAAAAGGTATTTATTAAGTGGTCACCAAGTGGTGTAATACATAGAGCTGGCCCGAAAGCCAGGAGGACCCGAGTTCAAGTCCCTGTCCTGACACCATATGGGTAGTAAGATTCTGGGCAGGTCACTTTACTGCTTGCTCTAGATTATAAATGGACCTCCACTAGTAGAGGGAGTTTTTTCATCCAGGAAATCTCCATGTATTAGCAGAGCTGGAGCACAGGTCATTTTGACGACAGCTCACAAATTTAGGTCTGGAAAAGATATTTAAGGCTACTTCTTTTTACAGATGAGAAAGTGGAGGCAGAAGGCAGTTAAATGTCTTGCTCAGGGCCATACAGAAGCAGGATTTGAACCCATATCTTCCTGAATCCAATCCAATTTAGTCACCATGGTGACTCAGAGGCCATCTCTCCACCTGTTTCACAACTTTGTCTTTTCTTAAAAGCAAAATTTTCCAGGCATTGTTCCAGGTATTGGGGAAACAAAGTAAAAAATAAGCTCTACTTTATATCAGGGAAGAAACAACATGTACTACACAGGCAAGAAAATACTAAATACACACAAGGTAAATACAAAGTAATTTTGGGTTGGTCCTCAGGGAAGATGATAAAGAATCAAGTTTGTCTTCTTTTGAATCAAACTCAGAATCTAAGTTGAGACTGTCCTTAAAAAATAGATAAACCAGTCATTTAGTCAGTCAACAAAGCTATTA